GAAGAAGAAGAAGAAGAAGAAGAAGAAGAAGAAGAAGAAGAAGAAGAAGAAGAAGAAGAAGAAGAAGAAGAAGAAGAAGAAGAAGAAGAAGAAGAAGAAGCCTAATACTTAATCTGAAAAATTAACATTGCAATTATTAAAATTTGCCTTTTTACAATATGCAGGTATGAAATCTGATAAATTAGGATTGGAATGGATACCATTTTTATTTTGTTTAGTAAACATCTGTAAGGCCCAAACTGGAGTTTTATTTTAAAAGGCTGTATATCCAGGGTTTTTTTAATTCACAAAAGCAACAACAAAAAAAAAAAAAAGCAAACCAAAAAGAACCCCAAAACCAACCAACCAAACAAACAAAACAACAACAAGAAAAAGAAACCCACATACTTTTTCTCCCCTGCCAGTCTCTTTAAACTTTTTCCACACTTTATTTATTAAGGATATTGAAGCCAGACTAAGGCATAGATCTAAATGTGCGCCGTGTTTTCAACTACGATCAAGGAACCTCCTTGGGTGAAATGGATAATTTAATTTCGTCCAAAAACTGGACATACTGTCTTTTAAGATAAAACCCCAGCGTACGTCTGTCTATCGACAGCGATCAACCCCAACGTTATCTTATCTAAAGTATGCCTGGCCTACGTGCTGAACCACATGCATGCAGTCCTTTTTGTCATCACAAAGCACTTTTTCCCCGAGTGGGGAGTGCGGAGAAGAATTTTTATCGAGTACATGTATAATAATATTATATTGTCTCTCTGCTTCTCTGTCTGTCTGTTTCTCTGTTTGTCTACGTCTGTCTGTCTACTACTCTGTCTGTCTGCTTTTCTGTATGTCTGCTTCTCTGTGTGTCTGTTTCTCTGTCTGTCTACTTCGCTGTGTGTCTGTTTCTCTGTCTGTCTACTTCTCTGTCTGTCTGCTTCTCTGTCTGTCTGCTTCTCTGTCTGTCTACCTTTCTGTCTGTCTACTTCTCTGTCTGTCTGCTTCTCTGTCTGTCTACTTCTCTGTCTGTCTACTTCTCTATCTGTCTACTTCCTCAATAGAGCAATGAACTTACTTCATACTATACTATAATATATTCACTATGTATACTATAATATATTCACAATGTATACTATAATATATTCACAATGTATAATTTAATATATTCACAATGTATAATCTAATATATTCACAATGTACACTATATCCTCAATGTATTTTGAAGTTATCCTCCCTTCCCACTACCAGTCCATTTTCCTACACACACTTACATTATACGTTTTAATAATACTTACATGTACTGAAAAATGCTCAAACACTCACACACATACACAGTGAAACACATGTACACACACACACACACACACA